CCCGGCGGCGAGTCGCAAGGTCGACGCTCTTCACCACCTCGCAGAGGTCGGAGTAGGTCCAAATCTTCTGCAGGAGCTGCGACGTGGTGAAGGGCAGCGACCACACCAGGAACCGCAGGTTCATCACCATCAGGGCCACGAAGCGCGAAAACCCGGTCCAAGTGCCGACGATGTTCGTCACCCCGAAAATCGCCTCGATGTAGTCGCCGGCCGTCACCGCATTGGTCAACCACCGCCCGTGCGTGGGCCAAATGAGGCGCAGAGCCAGCGCCAAAGCGGCATTGCCTCAGTCAGGGGGCGACACAAAAAAACTACAATGGAAACAGCCCGAAGCAAGACGCACAACAAACAAGTCAAATGCAACGTATCACAAGCAATGGTGGCAAGGTGCCCGGGTCTTCTGCTTCTGCCCCAGGTCGGCACTGCAGCGTCCCATGGTGGCTCAACCACTTGATGGTGCTGCGCCCCAAATCGGTCCAGCGCTCCATCCAAGAGTCAAGCCAGCCTTGGCGCGGCGCCGCAAAAGACAGCAGCTTGCCCACCCGCGCCAAGTGCGTGTCAATCTCCTCGTCAGAAGCACACCCGCACTGCTTACAGCCCAAATTTCCATGAATGTAGGGGTCAGAAGACCTCCATTGCGCGGGCCGCCAGTTGCGCTTCTGCTGAACGACCGAGCAGCGGGGGCACAACATTGCGGGCGAAGCAAAAAGCGGCCAAAATTGCTGCGGCGGCCGAACTGCATCAAACTGCCAATCAAACGACGAGCGACCGAATCTGAACATGTAACCAACTCCTGTCTCGTTGTTTTTTTAAACATCGTTTAAACATCTAAACATCACCTGATTGTTGGAAAACTGTTGAAAGGTAGTAATAGTAAGTGTTCAAGATGCATCAGTATGAAGGTCATGCCAAATTCAATGAGCCTTAAACCGTATTTTGAGCTGCTCCTGCAATGACAACACAAAGCCAACGCGAAAAGTGGCTATATCCAGTATTTATACGTGAGTATGAAGAACATCCATGACAAGGAGGAACTCTGTCAATGTCATTGTCCTTGCGGTTTTGTTTTCACAACTGACCCGCCCGTCTGCTTGACAACCACAAACCGACAAAACTAAGCCAACCCCAAGAGCAACCAAAGCAACTGCTATACATCAGCAAGCAATCGTGATGGTCTCGGGCCGCCTGTCCAGCGGAAATAGTCCGTGATGTAGCTCTTGGGAAGCACATCGTGAAGCAGATGCCCCGACGAAGGACTTGAAGATGCCCCAGCGCATACTGCCTTTGGCCTGTGCCAGGCGCTTTGGGCCTCCTCGAGCGGGGGTCGTGGGGAGGGAGGTGAAAAAGGAAGGAGGAAGGTGCAAAAACATGGAGTGAGAAACACCGATTTTGGATCATGTTCGAAACAGAGTGGGTCATTTTCGAACACATGGGGGGGCTATCCTGCGGCACCCGTGGGGTGGGGAAGGTGAGGTGGGGTTACGTTCGCCTCTTACTGCGTGACCGTGCCACTGCGTCCTGGAGGTGGGGGTGGGGGTGGGGTGGGGCAGTTACGTTCGCCTCTTACTGCGTGACCGTGCAACTGCGTCCTGGGGCTTGGGGAAGGGGGTAATTGCACAACTGCGTGACGGTGGAATTGCGTGTTGGGCGGGGGCGGGGTGGGGCAGTTACGTTCGCCTCTTACTGCGTGCCCATGCGACTGCGCCCTGGGGCTGGGGGAAGGGGGCAATTGCGATCGCCGCTTACTGCGTGGCGGCGCAACTGCGTATTGGGGCTGGGGGTGGGGGGTAGGCGTTCGCCTCTTACTGCGTGACTGTGTGACTGCGCGCTAGGCCTGGTGATGATGATGATGATGACGATGATGATGATGATGATGATGATGATGTTGATGATGATGATGATGTTGATGTTGATGATGGTGATGTTGTTGGTAGTGATGATGACGATGTTGGTGATGATGGTCATGATGATGATGATGATGATGATGATGATGCGATGTTGACGATATTGATGATGATGATGATGATGATGATGATGTGATGTTGACGATATTGATGATGATGATGATGATGATGATCATGATGATGATCATGATGATGATGGTGTCGATGTTGATGATGATGGTGATGATGTTAATGATGATGATGATGATGTTGATGTTGGCCATGAGGACGTCGATGGCGATGACTTTGATCATGTTGATCATGATGGCGATGCCGACGTTGATGTTGATAATGGTGATGATGTTGTTAATGATGATGATGATGATGGTGATGATTTTGATGCGATGATGATGTTGATGTTGATGTTGATGTTGATGTTGATGTTGTTGATGATGATGATGATGATGATGATGATGATGACATTGATGTTGATGGTGGTGTTGATGATGATGATGATGGTGGTGTTGATGATGATGATGATGATGATTGATGATGCGTGTTCGCGCGCCTCATCGTGGTGTGCATGGACACCTGGAAAAATGGCCGTGCTGCTGTAAATCACATACACTTGAGCAAGAGCCAAAACACGCGTTCAAAAACGACCACCTTCCCTGAAAAAACACATCACACATCATGTGGAAATTGACCTGGCCTCCACATCCCCGGTTTCCGCGATCCAGTCATAGTGCTTCTGCTTCGGGATGAAGAGCACCGCAACCGTCTCCGCGCCCTCGCCACCACGCTCCTTTTCGATGACTGTCTCGCCGAAAACGCCATCACGCGTCAATTCCAAAATGCGGATTCGGACATTGAAGCAATGGATTGTTGCCAGGAGGCAAGGGAGTCTCCGTAGACGCCGTCTTTACTAGCCATCCTGGGACACCAATCTTCAAGGTCCTCGCCATCAAGGTCAGGCAAGCTCGGGGTTTTTCTTCACCTCACCCACAAACTTGGCACGCAGCTTGGCCATGGAGCCAGGTTCGAAGCCTTGCTCGGTGAGGGCCATGGCCAGGTTGGGGGTTGGGGGGGTTGGGGGGGTTGGGGGGGTTGGGGGGTTGGGGGGGTTGGGTTTGGGGGGGTTGGGGGGGTTAAGGGTTTGGGGGGTTGGGGTGGGGGGGTTGGGGTGGGGGTTGGGGGTTGGGGTTGGGGGGTGGGGGGGTTGGGGGGGGGGGGGGGTTGGGGGGTTGGGGGGGTTGGTGGGGGGGGGGGGGGTTTGGGGGTTTGGGTGGGGGGGGTTGGGGGTTAAGGGGGTTTGGGGGGTTGGGGTGGGGGGTTTGGGGGGTTGGGGGGGTTGGGGGGGTTGGGGGGTTTGGGGGGGTTGGGGAGATGGGGTGATGGGGTGAGTGGTGGGGGGTTGGGGGGGGGAGTGTGGGGGGGTTGGGGGGGTGGGGGTTGGGGGGGGGGTTGGGGGGGTGGGGGGGTTGGGGGGTTGGGGGGTTGGGGGGGTTGGGGGGGGGGGGGTTGGGGGGTTGGGGGGGTTGGGGGGGTTGGGGGGTTGGGGCGGTTGGGGCGGTTGGGGCGGTTGGGGGGGTTGGGGGGGTTGGGGGGGTTGGGGGGGTTGGGGGGGTTGGGGGGGTTGGGGGGGTTGGGGGGGTTGGGGGGGTTGGGGGGGTTGGGGTTGGGGGGGTTGGGTAAAAAGAAGAAAAACCGTGAAAACCCGGCGTTTTTAAATTTTCGAAAACAACCATGGAAACTTGGCGTTTCACTTGGGGGACCGGTTCCGTTTTTCGACATCCTCTAGTAATGATGGTGGTTTCAGCTTGCTCTAGTAATGATGGTGGTTTCAGCTTCCTCTAGTCATGATGGTGGTTTCAGCTTCCTCTAGTCATGATGGTGGTTTCAGCTTCCTCTAGTAATGATGGTGGTTTCAGCTTGTTCTAGTAATGATGGTGGTTTCAGCTTCCTCTAGTAATGATGGTGGTTTCAGCTTTCTCTAGTCATGATGGTGGTGTTGAGCTCCCTCTAGTAATGATGGTGGTTCCAGCTTCCTCTAGTCATGATGGTGGTGTTGAGCTCCCTCTAGCAATGATGGTGGTTCCAGCTTCCTCTAGTAATGATGGTGGTTCCAGCTTCCTCTAGTAATGATGGTGGTTCCAGCTTCCTCTAGTAATGATGGCGGTTTCAGCTTCCTCTAGTAATGATGGTGGTTTCAGCTTCCTCCAGAAATGATGGTGGTTTGGAGTTCAATCTTCGTCGGGAGTAAAGATGTCAAAAGGACCCGCACGAAATGGTTCCACGCGGGGAGGGTAGCCCTAAGAAAACGTGGAGGCTTCCCCACACCTCCCCTTGTTGGCACAGGGGGCCCCCACATCCCAAATGGGTGGGTCTTGGGCCCATGGTCGAACACATCGGCTCTTTCTCAGCATAGCTGGGGTCAGGAAGGCAATTGTGCAACCGCCGAAGGGCCAAATCCAATTCGTGCCTTGCATCTATCTGGGTGTTTCTCAAAATTGGGAACGCCATTGGTTTCCTTTGCCCTCTCCTAGCCATCTGAGAAGGGGACCCCCCCCCCTTTTGCTTCACCCGAAACTTGTGCGAGTCGGAGCGGATGTTGGGGAAGGCACAAGTCCCGGAAAATAAGATGCGTGTGCCTGTATCATGTATGCCAACAGTCCAACATCCAGCCTGCAGGCATTTCCGTTCATCCACGTGTGTGAGGTTACCCCTCCTGGACATGGGGAGTTAGTGAGTCCCCCCGGCTTTTTTTGCGGGGAATGCAGAGCTTGTCCCCCATGTCCTTCCCAAATTGACCACGAATGGAAATGTTGACCAAACCTCAGGCAGGCTTCCCTGCAACTACCTTTCAAGCCCCCCCCCTACCAAGGGATACTCACCTTGAAGGCCAAAAAGGTGATGCTTCAATTTGCGAAACATATAGGGGTCCCTGTTCCTGGCCCCATGATTTTGCCATTGTTCAAGTCACCCTCTAAATTGTAGAAAGGAACAACCCCGGTTTCTGACTTTGACAACCCCCAGAAACCGTCGAAAGAATGCCCCCAGGGTTCAACCCGTGGCTTTTGGCATTTGTCGCCGGACTTTGGTGTGCAAACGGCCCGC